AGCTTTGCCAGCAGCAGCACTAATGAAGCATTGTTTTTTATTAACATGTTGAGCATGAGTGCCAACTGAAGCATTTTAACGTTAGGGGTATTTTCTCGTGATCCCCTTCTCTGGTGTCTAATGAAGATGAGTTCACCCTTCAGGATCCCCTTTAAAGGGAAGGAGGAATTGCTTCTCTTCCTGTGAAAATTGGTGCAGACTTAATTAGCTTTGAGGTTGCTGACTGTTAAATGTGATTGGAACTGGATGGCAGTCTGGTATCTCTTCCTTCTACGTTGGCAAAAAAGTTGGTGCTGATGTGGCTGGAAGTGAGTGCCAAGAGAGGCCCTTGCTCTTTGGAACCTGCTTTTTCATGGTGATCTCCCCACACCAGTGTTCATCCCATGGGAGTAGCACTCATTGCTGTGTCCTGACCAGCTGCATGGCCTGGAGTGACCATCCCCTTTTGGGATGCTCACCCATAGCAGAAGGCTCAGGTCAAACCATCCCTGGCTACAGGAGAGAGATTTCTCAGATCTGTGAGACATGGCTACTGCACCTGCCATTAACCCTGTGTCCTTAGCGACTACAGATTTATAATGTGCTTTTAATCCCTTTCTCAATCCAATAAACAGGGCATGGATCTTCAATCTAATTTAAGCTTGTTCAGCCAATTTCTGTCTCTTACTGAAGGCCCATTTCCTTATAGCTCAATTAACAGCAGTGATAAGCAGGCTCCCTTCTAATTTACTTTACTGTGCACTCATCTTAACACTTTCCTCCCCACCATGCTCCTGGTTCTCTGCAACTGCCTCCAAATCTCCCCCTCACTCAGGATGAAGCCTCTGAGTGCTGGCTTATGCTCCAAGTGGAACTTAGTGTCCCCTTTGCATCGGTCATCTTTGCCTCGAGTTACACTTAGTGCACTCCAGTGCTGCTCTACTCCAAAGGTTTTTTTAATGTGGATTCCCTTGGAAGTTCCTAGTGGACATTTTGCTGGTCTGGTGACCAGCTGCTGTTGATCCTTCCCATCTTTCAGGGAAAGACCCTACTTGAGACTATATACTTTAGTGGTGGGAAGGGGCTGCTACCATCTGACTTTCTTGGGTCATCTGCTGGGTTCTTCATTTAGACACAAAAACTTCTCTTACTGGTGGTATAAGGGTAGAGGCATCTTCTGAAGTGGTGTTCTTCTCCCACACTTGGGCGAGCAACCCTTGTTGCTCAAACCTTACCCTTGGGGAGCAACAGCTCCCAGGATGGGTCTATCTCTATAAATTGAGCTTTTTATTTTATTTTTTAAGTCAGGTTTTCTGCTTTCAAAGTCAAAAACACCTTGACATGCATTGGTAAAAGTCACGGTTAACTCAAAAGTCAACTCTATTTATCATCACAAGGCCTGGGACTAATCAATAAATGTGGCATCCAGGGGACTTGTTTGAGATTGTGGCTGCAAGAGACATAGCTGGGGAGACAGAGGGATGTATGTGGGGTGGGAAATGACTGATCTGTTTGCGCCTTCACTCTCATGGGGTTAGTGCTAGAATGGTGTAGCCATTGGGGAGCTAAGCTCCAAGCAAGGTGAGATGAAGCCATCTGCCTTGGGTTTTGGACATAGCTCCAGGAACAAGCTGAGCATTACAAACCCAGGCAATGTTGTCATAGCTTGTGCAAACCACCAGTTGTTGTGCAGGCTTGAAGAAAGGGCATCAATTGTGCACTCCAAATGGGAATATATCCCTGGAGTCATTCCACGCATTTCACACCAGTTGTCTCTTACTATGTCTCAAAAATTGCCAAAGGACAGAGCATGAACTTCCTGTATCTTCATATAGCTTGATAGCTCAGACCCTGCAGGCAAGACAAAACCTATCTGCTGTGGCATTTGTGTTTTAAAGCTATCGGCAGTGTTGAAAGTAAAGAACTGACTCAATTCTGTTTGTTTGTGGAGACATAATGTCCTTGGATCAGGCAAAAGCACCTTCCTAGTACTGGTTTTATGTATTTCATTAATTCACACAATGTTAGCGGCTGTGTCTTTTCTTCTGTCCTTCAGCAGAAGTAACAATGCAACAAACCTCATCTTCACAACTGGCTGCATCTTAGTTCTTTGAGTATTTGTAGCCTAGTCGTTTCCATGAGATTGCCGCTTCTATGGACTCAGGGTATGCTAGGTGCTGTGCAAGAGTGTATTTAGGTCTCTTAACAGCTTGCAGGCTGAAGGAATGGGCAGTAAAGTGAGCAGTAATGTGGTCAGGCCCAGGGCATATTGATGGAAGGACCAAAGAACAGCTCTTCTGCCACCCTGGGCAAAGCCTCTTCCACTTGGCCAAGCTGCTTCTACACACACTCCCATTATACTCCATGTTAAGTCATGAAATATCTCTTGAGAAGGAGTTGAGCATGTCTGAAACACCAAAGGGCAAGGGAGTGATGGAGCAAGGCTGGAATGGATCGTCTAAGGTTTCAGGCCTTTTCCATCTCCTCTGAATTGGTCTTTTTGCAGTAGATGCAGTTGAGTTTCCACTGTCCAGGGGAAGAACACCCTTGGTATCATTACTCAAGTGTCCTTGCTTGTCTTAATCTTGTTTTTTATCTCCATCCAAAGTGAAGAAACAACCCCTGAGAGCTGGTACAATCTCACTCTGACATCTCATGCAGCCCACCTAGAGCTTAGGAGAGAAGAAATCCCATCCTTTGCCTTGGTCCTCTCCTATTTTTGTGGTGGGCTCAGACCGGTGACCCCAAAAGCTTCAGTGCAACATGGCAAACAACTAACTAATTAAGCAAAGAGGAGCGAGATGAATTTAGATTCTTCTTTAGAGCTCACAGACTATTTGTAGTCTTGAGTTTGTTAATTGAAAATTGCTTCCTCTGTGTGTTGTTGGCCTTTTTGTGGAGGGGGATATTTCCTGCTTTTGGACTGTGTAGCTGGATCTATAATAATGCACTTTGTACATTAGTGCCAGGCACATTTGTAATTGGCTACCCTATTAAAGAACAATAATGATCTTACAAGTGTTCACAAATAATGAATAGAATGGCCCCTCGCTGAATTGAGTAATTTATTCACTGACATACTTGCAGATCTGTTTTTCTGTTATTTAACCCAGCTTTAGTTTTCTGCCTGACTTGCAGAGATGACTTTAGCTATGTGTCAGCAAGAATGTGGGTCAGAAAAGCATACTGTTCATAAAAATGTAGGGCTGCTCCATGCCGACTCCGCTCTTAATGCACAGGATTGGATTTAGAGAGTAAGTGATGGGAATTCAAGCCTCTGTGGTCCTCTAATCCATTGGATGCTGGGCTTCTCCTTAGGCATAAGGAGAGAATGTAGAAGGCAAAACCAGGATTGGGGAAATGCTCTCCAAAAGTTTTTTTTTAATATTTATTTCATATTTAAATATGAAAGTCCTAGAAAAAGTGTCAACACCAGTGGCAGAACTGTTTTTTTAGCTCTTGCCCCAGGAGCAGACTGGCTGAGCTCCTGTTTTGCTGCGGTTCTGCTGCTTGATGAAATCTTGGGAAACTGTTTTGGTGCTCCCCAAATAACCAAGTTGGGACGAGAGGAAAGATCAGTCTAGGTTCGTAGTTATTTACATCTAGAAAGCCTTGTCTTAAAGCATAATTTATTTATGAAGGATGTAAGTGTGGAGCTTGGGCATTGTCCATGATGTGTTGGCTTCTATATGATGGAAAACTCCCCCAAGCAGTTGTTGATGGACTTGGCTTGGCCTCCAAGGCTGGTCTTGAGCTATAGGTTTTCCCATTGCACTGCAATCATCACTTTTAGTGGAGTATAGTTGTATACTGCATATACATCTGCTTTCTCGGGCTTCTCTAGGCTAGAGAATTGTCTTTCAAGTCCTGTGAAGATGCATGAGGAGGAAATACTCCTTGGGGCATGAAGCCAGTCATGTTATATGAGGTGAAATGGTGAAGTCGGAGCATAATCAAAAGTCTTCATTAAAGAGTTGGGTTTGGTCAGCACATTTGGAAATGGATTCCTTAATTTGGGAGCTTGATTTGCCCAACCTGGTGGCTGTATCAGGATGGAGTTTCAATGCATCAAATAAGCTGAATGGAGCTTGAAGTGTGTGGAAACTGCATGGTTTTGGACCCGGAAATTTGGCTGTGTGGTTGAGAGCCCTCCTGTTTGCTTGGACCTGGTGGCTGTATCAGGATGGAGTTTCAATGCATCAAATAAGCTAAATGGAGTCTGAAGTGTGTGAAAATTGAATGGTTTTGGACCTGAAAATTTGGCTGGTTGAGAGCCCTCCTGTTTGCTTGGAGCCATTGAGAGGGTAACTGGACTTGGGTTCCTCCTGCAAACCCACCCCATCATTCTGCAATGGGAGCACGTTGGAGCTCCGGGGATGGGCATCTCGGCATGGGGTTTGCCCAGTTCTCGCACCTGTATTAGCCCTGGGGGGTGTCCCTGAAAGAGCCTCCCTGAGGGAATCTGAGGAGGGAGTACTGGGCCCTGATCTGGATGGAAAGGTGATGAAGTGGGAGGGAGGATGCCAGAGCTGGGGGTGAGGAGAAGAAAATGTCAAAGCTTGATTATTATTATTATTATTTTGGCGAGGGGGAGGTGGATTCTGGGATGCTTTGGGGGAGAATGTCGGTTTCTTTTTATTTTTTAATTTTTGATTTATTTTATTTTTTATTTTTGAGGGCAATGCTGGAGCCTGCTTCGCTGGGGAGAGCTCACAGCCCAGCGCAGGAGCAGCAGCTCGCTTCCCAGGGGGTGCGGGGAATGGCACGGCGTGACATTTTGAGGGCAGGACGGCGGAGCCCGATCCTGGGCGGAGGATGCCGGTGCCCGACGGAGGGCGGAGAGAGCGGGGCTTTGCAAAAGCCTCCTCCTCCGCCCGGGGCCGCCGAGGCCCGCAAAGGG